CTTAATATCATTTAGCAGGAAAAGAACAACTTCAAATCTTTCAATTGTGAAAGAGTTAGGGATTTAGGAATTATCTTAGACTCTAAACTAACTTTCATAGACCATTACAACACAATTATTCACAGGGAAAATAACATGCTAGGCTTTATCAAGCGCTTTTGCTATAACTTTCAGGACCCATACACAATTAAAACACTATATATCGCCTATGTGAGGTCAATACTGGAATATTGCAGCATTGTATGGTGTCCTTTTTCAATCACGCACGAAGAAAGATTAGATCCGTACACGGTAAGAAAAAAGTACCCAAAAGTAAGTTCTTTTCACTCATCTCGGCACTATAGTGCAGGAACCCAAAAGTAGGTAAAGCGGACCAAAGTAATTTTTATTTACTTGTGGGCAATTCGTATGGAATTTTCCACTAGCTTTCTACCCAATAGTAAGTTAGTTGTACCCAAAAGTAGGTAAATATGATTATACTCAACGTTGAGTTCCCGCACTTTACTACCCCTGTTGGGTGGTTTTGCTCCTCCGTTTTTGACAACATTAGAAGGCGAAAAGGAGACAAACTAGTCAAAAGTAGGTAAAAGTGAACTTAAAGGTAAAGGAAAAAGGTACTTTTTTCTAACCGTGTACAAAAACAATTTCTATTATACGCTCTTCGTAAATTAGGTTGGACATCATTTCCTCTTCCATCATATGAAGCACGCTGCATGCTTATAAACATACAAACATTAAAAGAGCGTCGTGAATATGCAATGGTTTCATTTGTAAACGATATCGTTTCGCAGCGCATTGACTCCACAGAACTTTTATCAAAATTAAATTTCCATGCACCTACTCGGCAAATCTGAAATCGAAATTTATTTGCCATAAAACATCATCGCACAAATTATGCAAAATATGGGCCATTAAACCGCATGATGGCCTCTTACAATCAATACTGCGAAACCATTGACTTTACAATGTCTCGACATAAACTAAAACAATATTTTTACTCCATAAGGTATTATAACTCATAAAAAATAGGAAAGCTGACACTGCTTAATTTTTATTAAAGACAAAATTATAGTTAAAAGTATAATTTTGTCTTTAATAAAAATTAAGCAGTTTTGTCCAAAGTTGACGAAATAAATAAATAAATTTAAGAAAACAAAACTGTATTCGAATATGTACTAGTCTACGTTGGTTGACGAAATAAATAAATAAATTTTGCATAGCATTTGAAAGGTAAAATAAGACGAACTATACGTTGTATTCGGGGTAGTTGTATACAACGTATATTCGTTATAAGTCAGGTAGCACAGTACTGTCGCATTAATGGCCCTTCGCTCATTTTCAATGTCTATTTAATTTTCATACTGCCGTACTCTAGCGGAACTATCAACCTACCCTCTTTAGACCTTTCTCTAGCTAATAAATTATCAAACTAAAGCTCCATGTTAGATAGCATTTCCAATCAACTCTGAAAACAAAATAATGTTGAAAAAAAAAATTATAACCAAATTTTGGTCTTATGCACTGCACCTAAACCGCATCCTTGGTTCGAATGATTATTCGCTTACCCAAGCCCTACTGATGAATTTACGTTACGGTCGACCATCAGATGGAAATGATGTGAAAATTATAATGACGTTTTGCTACCTCTCAAATCGTATGGAATATTTTTTAGTACATCCACAGAGAACAGACATGGAGGCTCGAACAAAATTTCTCTAAAAACTTGTGTAAAGATTCCTATTCGACTTAAGCGCCACTAACGGCGACTTCCCCACTTAAAAACCCTCTTTGACAACATGATGGCACTGGCGTTGCACAAATTACACTAGACACTAAGTGCCAGTAGCGCCAAGTGGCAATTTTCAACAAAATTTATCGATACTAGCGCCAAATTGGTCGAAAGTGGAAAATTTATAGAGAAAATCAGGAGATGCTAACATCATGTAACGGCGACGTTCCCACTTATTTTACACAAGTTTCTGACCGAATTTGAACGTCTGTTCTCTGTGGTACATCATCAGTTTTGTAATTGCAAATCTGAAAACTAGGTGTCGCATGGCCAGTTTTACCTTTGCGTAAATTCATCAACACCACTTATCAGATGATATTGAGATAATCGTCAATTCGCATACTTGTCATCTTAATATTGGATGATTTTAGTTCAATTTTTGAAAGCCTACGTAGACGTAAATCAAACGAAAAATAATTTAATAGTGAAATATTTTTCATATTTCTATTGAATGATTATTGATTGATCTTGAATGGTATTTCGGAAAATCAGATGAAAATCAGTAGTAAGATTAATTTCAAATATTTATATTTTTATTTATTTGGAAAAAAAAGAAGACAAATAGACTTTCTGGGCAGAATGACATTATAGCAGGGGAGGCAGGGTTAAGGTCATTCGTGTGACGAATTTTAAAGAGGACGGAGGAGCAACAGCAGAAGAACAGAAGCAGCAGCAGAAGCGGCAGCAGCTGCAGGAACAGCAGCCGAGAAAGCAGCATCCCGGATTCGTGTAGCCGTGCCCGAGTCTGGAAACCTCGGTCCGGTCACGACACATACGAAACATATGTTAATATTCATTGGTCAATTGAAAGTAATACGCACGTTCTTGTGCAGAAACTTGTTTTGTCATTCAAAATTTTGGAAACATAGAATCTGTAGTCAACTGAATGCAAATTCATTCTACAAAAGGAGGATGGTTTGGTTCAGTGTGGTCACATAGAAGGTACACTCAAAAAATTCTACACGTTAATGCTACGTGAAAAATCACGTAGATCTCAATACGTATATTTTTTGTGAGTTTACCTGACGTAAGTAAAATTTAGTTATCAGTATTTGATGTTCATAAGGAACACATTTCATATCCACTTTTTTATCTCATAGCATTTATGTGAAAATCACATAAGTTGAAGGCACTCTTTTGACAGCTTGACCTTCACGTACATGCTACGTGTTTAACTTGTATGAAACAATAAGAAACATGGCCACTCTGCAGTACATACTGCAAGAGGTGTTAGCTGATTTACAGATTTTGAACGGTAAAAGTTATTTTATTGTATGAATAATGTGGTATAATTTGTATTATTTGTTTTACAGAGTGGGGAGTTGAATTTTTCGAGTTACAGGGCATAACTACGGACCAAATTCCAAAGTTCTTCCAACCTTCCAACTAAAACAATTTGGAAGTACTCTGTACTCTGAGATAATTTACTCCAGACGAACATAAACAGCCAGCAACCTTACAGAAGGAAAACAGTGTTCCCGCGAATCCACGAGAACTTACTCCAAACTTATAGATTATTCCAGCAATGAAACTTCCGGTGAAACCTTCCACTCCATCAGCTGTCCCCAAAGCAATTCCACAACCAAAACAATTAAGTTGAAACTCCACCGGCATCACCTGCCCCAGCATCAGCGTTTCACCGCCTTCGCCGTGATCATCTTGCGTTCGAAAATCTCCCTCAAGGATCCGGGCGACTTGCTGTTCGTGTTCATGGAACTGTTCCATCTTCCGAAGCGGCCAGAAATAGGCAGAATGCAGAATCACAAAATAATGTTATCCAAGGTGAAAAAAAGGTTTATCGCTATTGCAACACCAGTAAATGTGTTAGTTTAATGAATGCAATAAATAATAATGAGATAATTAACGCAAGTATTGAGGTATTTACTTTACATAAATCAATGAAATTCTATAGAAAAGTAAGTACAATTCATCCAAAAATAATATATTCTTCATTTGGTTTTAATTTAAATTATACCATGATTCTATTTAAAATCTACTGAAATATGTCGTTGTCAATACTGAAATTTCACTTAGCTTGTACGTGAAACTCCAATATTAAAATTAAGAATGGAAGCTTTCTTCACTACATGGAAGTCACGTAAGTAGCACGTGAAAAGTGCGATGGAAAAAATCCACATATGTTTTCACGTAGCATTAACGTGTAGAATTTTTTGAGTGTACGCATTTCACACCAAGTTGGACAAAGAAGGGCGTTTTTTATAATAAAAAGTGTGAATAAAGTGCACGTTTACGTGTAATCGTTTTAGTGCCTTCGGTGCACTTATTTCTTATGATGCAAACAACAAATGCTCTGAAGACGTCAATATAATTTGACCTACATGTGCGCTTTTATCACACTATTTGATTTTATATTTTTTATAATACTCAATATTTTTATAATACTCAAAACACCATTGCTGTACCACAGATTGGACATTTGAGGATACAGTGTTCAATCCTTGACAGCACCATGAGCTATCTTATCTTGACACCTAAGAAGGAGGAACGCCATGTGAGAAGCGAATACTGACCCCATCCAACTGTACTTCCGTTGCGGTTATCATAAAGAACCATCTTTTCAAGACAGCACATCCAATTGCTAATTCCTACAACAGTAAACAATATGACTCAACCAGCATGAGCACCGACACCGGCTTTTCAAATATTCGTTTTGCATACTAATGAGCGTTTAACCCAAAGACGACTCAGGCTTGTTTGTCTCGTCTCGTGCGGTTGTACTTCAATCACAAATCAAAGCAAAGGGTGCAGTATTGTCACATATTTTTCAATCCCGAGGTGCTGGGAAAATTGGTATGCAATTGCACCCAGGATTGACGATTGACAGACGTACGAACAGAATGCGACCGCCAAATTCACCAATTGTCCAATCGATCACGTGCTAAATGCACTGCTCGGTCAGCGCCAAGAATCACGCGTTATCACCGGTGCGAAGGCGACGCGTTCCTATTGGCTATTAAAGGTTATTTGACCATTAGCGATGGCACAGTGAATTTTTGATCGGCGCTACGCGTTGATATGGTAATGATGGCTTTTTACGCTTGTAAGTTGCGTCGTTATGACAGCCAACCCAACCATGTAGGTGTTATCCTGAATACTAACGCGATCGATTCCTTGGAGATCATCACGCACAAATATAAATGCTACGGTGCACGTTTGACGAACTGGTTAAAATGTATAAAAATGTGATTGTCACAAGCGTTTGGCTATCAGTCCGTGGAGAGCTGAGCAATAGAACAGAATGAGATTGTTTTTGCTGTGCTTGTTTTTGGGAGCAGTATCTGCAGAGGCTCCATTTGCCGGATATCCAGCATCGGGATGGCGTCCTCAAGGTGCCCAGTTTAGATTACCAACAGAATATGGAGCACCTCTAGTGCAGCAGAAGGTGGAGGTCGAGATCAGCAAAGAAAATGTCGCCCACGCTGCCCAAGTCGTTGAGGCCACCACTGAAGAGTTGTTGAGCAACGAATACCTTCCACCAACCACCACTGATCAAGTAAGGTCTAGAAGAGTTATTTAAAAATATTTGGTACTGACTACTTAATCTATTTTCAGCCTGAGCTAGACCCGATCCGTGTTCAGGGATTACCAGATGACCAATACCGAGATTTTCAACGATCCAATCTTAAACAAACACAACAAAGATTCCACCAGCAACAACCAATATTTCCACTGAGTGGCCAACTCCGTGCTGGCTCAAACAATAATTTGCAATTTGGACGTCAGGAACAGGCACAACCGACTCAAACTTATGGAGTACCAGATCAAGATGAGCCCAACTCCGATGATCAACCAGAGAATCAATATCAGGGTTTTCAACAAGCCTCTAGAACTAATCCAGCGACTCAACAAGCACAGCAGCGACAGTCGCTCTTTCCACAACGCAACCAACTTAGAGCCCAACAACCAGCTGCTAAAAATTTCCAATTCGGACGCCAGGAACAGGCACAACCGGCTCAGACGTATGGTGTACCAGATCAAGATGACAACGAGTCTGACGATCAAGACTTGCCGGAAAACCAATATCAAGGTTTTCAACAAGCCTCAAAAGTCAATCCAGCGCCTCAGCAACCATTCTTTCCACTGAGTGGCCAACTGCGTGCCATTCCTGCAAATAATTTCCAATTCGGCCGCCAGGAACAGGCACAACCAACTCAATCGTATGGCCCGCCAGAAAACGACTCTGGAGATCAAGACTTGCCAGAGGAACCAGAGCCAACCAATGTTCCAGATTCTGACAATGATGATGACGACAACCAAAAAGAACAGGGTCCGACCGACGGTCGTCCAGTTATTGCCATTGCCAATTCGTTCTCCGGTCAGTACTACGTCCTCGGTCAGGATAGCACGCTCCAACGGGTCATGTATGCAACTTCGCAATCAGATGACGATCGACGTAATATGGGATTCACCGCTCAGCTTCGTTACTCCCAGGTTGAACCGATCCGAGGACCTGTCTACGCGTACAACGAACAAGGTCAACTGATCAGAATCTACAAGTAGGCAGAAAGTCGGAAACACCCCAGTCCCACCAGTGCACGGTCAACGATATCCGGAGTGACCGTAGTTAACTATTCAAATCACGTTATCGTACAACGTATTTCGTATCGCACAACCGTTCGCATCTTTTCACACCATCCAACGAACACGTGAGGAAGATTTATTCTGTCTCCTATTTATTCACCTTTCTTGTAATTTATTTTCATACGTAAATATGCATCGATGAACGTTTTATGTTTCGGTTTCGAAAAGTAATAAATTTGACGATTTGATGATGATGGCAATTAAGTATGCAGTGATTTAGAAATATTGACAACTAAAGCCATACCCATAGCCTTGATCTAGAAAATGACTCGTGTGGATTCATTTGAACATGTTTCAATTTTATTGTCCGTTAGGGAATTGGTCGTCCACGCTAAACATTTGCTATAATCTTGCATTCTGCTGCATACAAATTATTGTATTTGTCGAAAAGTGAATGATCTGGTTGGCTTTTTTTTATCAAGTTCGTTAGTTTTATGGAGCCGATAATTCATTGTTCTTTGTTTGTAACGAAATTCACTTAATTCTATGTCTAGTAGGAGTTGGGCCGAATACTCGCGGCTTATCAGAGGATAGAGGGGTACATTGTCGAAGGATATGAAAAGGGGAGGAGCTTGGGAGTAGGGTTTCGTTGTCTCGTCAAAGCGATGTCGCCAGTATGAACGGTCGTGTGGTTCTAGATTCGTCTAGACTTCGACCGGCTATGGTGACCAGTGGGCGACGATGAGACTCATCGAGACGGGGGACAAGACAAACAAAAACTTATAGTAAAGAGATACAAAAGACAAACGAATTAAATTCTTATACTAGACATTTGCAGAAACACATAAATCGTCATCTGGTTGGCTTGCGCACAGCTTATCCACAGAAATATCTCTCGATTATGTTTCTCCTTAGGTGTACTGGCAACTTCTAACCACCGACAAGCATACATAACGCATTGAGTATTTTCACTACAATACATCGTCACTCAAACATTACCGCCATCTGGTGAGTAAACTATCATAAGCAAAGGCGGTGGTGCGTAAACGTCAAGCGCATGCGAATTAACTATCCGCGCCACAGAAAAAAAATATCAGGAAATTGATGGTTAAATACGTGTTCGACGACATACAAGCAAGTTTTATGTCTGTTTGTCTGTGCTATAGCTATTATACGGTAACCAGCGTAAACACATTAATGTGTATAATTTCACACATTTCGTGAAAAAAGGGGCCTACTCATAAAATGTGTAAACTGAGTTTACACATTTATGTGTAAACCCAGCAAACGTCAAAAGAAGTGTATTTTTTACACATTTTTCAAGAACGGTTTTTACAGCAAAATGTTTAAAAAGTAATCATTTCTAGAACTTAAATATAATGGGTGCTCATGGTTTTAAATATATTAACTTCGGATTTTTTTTATTTGTGTCAATGGTAAAATAAAGATTGCTCGATTATTGTATATATTTTATTAAAAACAGAAATGTAATATCAACAAAAATAAGTAGCAGCACCGGAGGTGTTGGTAAGCGTGATTTCCTCGTGATTTCCTCTCAATCCCAGTCGACGCTGCCGGGATGTTCTGTGGCATAACATCTCTGATCGCGCCGAGGATCACGCCTTCCTTCGGAAGGGAAGTGAAGCCATTGGTCTCCGGTTCATGAGTTGATGGGTCGATAGGTAGGGTCCAGGTATGGGAGATTCCTCCCTGGCATCGGTAGCATTGATGCTCAGCACGGGAAACAAATCAAGGGAAGAAAAACAAAAATCAGTATATGAAGTATATAAACTAAACTAAAACTAAAAGCTATGAAAAAAGTATAAATCACCTACCCTCTAGCATGTCCATCGTTACGCACTGTCCAGTTTGGACCGTAGTTCCTCAATATGCTGTTCTTCACTGAAATTTAGCAAATGGCGTAGGATGCAGCAAAGTTTGAAGTTTTTTTTTACCCATTAATGAGTATAAAAATACACATTTTTTGACTGGTACTACATTCTTAAAATGTGTATTTTTTACACATTTTAGGATCTCCAAATTTACACATTTTTTGACAGCTGCATATAAATATTAAAAATGTGTATTTTTTTACTCATTTATGTGTACGCTGGTTACCGTGTAGGACAGTGCTACCACCGGTTGGAAACTAATACCACAGACAGACATACACATTAGTACCAACAATCAATACGAAACTAACGAATTTAATTTGGCTCACTAGTTGACTAGCCTATTGGTCCCAAGCATACGATTAACGTACCCCATTCTAGTCGAAATTCTAGTACTACGCAATGTTTGTTTTGATTCGCTATTAAAGTTTGACAGATAAAATAAGGGGTTATTGGTTTTTCCTATGTTTCGAGGGGTGCATCGATTAGCTTTGGACCGAAGAGAATACCAAAGCTGAACCAAAAAGTTGAGCACGTTTCTTCGGGAATTTCTTGTCTTATAGTTACCTCTATGCTAGTCTCGGTCAAAACGTCCTATGTGGTTTTTGTGATTTTACCGTTTCTACTGAATTTTCAACGTTATTATTCACTGACTACATTAAAAATAGTATTGCAAAATGCAATGTTTCTAAAAAGTTAAAATAATAATCTGCCGAACTTCAACTTAATTTTTTTCAAAATTACACGTGCCCTCTTTAAATACACAGTCAAACTTTCATAGCGATTCAAAACAAACATTGTGTAGTACTAGAATTTCGTCTAGAATAAGGTGCGTTAATCGATTTGCTTGGGACCAATAGGCTAGTCAAGTAGTGAACCAATTTAAAATCGATAGTTTCATATTTGTCCACGCACTGGGAATCCTCTTCGATAAGCTCCAACGCCTGGCAACGGCTGAGCGAACTATCCGGAAATGGTCACTGGTTCAGGGGTTTTAGCTTTTGGGAGGGAGGGTACCAGCACAGGTACCAGGGTTCCACTGTTCAAGGACATCAAGATCCGAGCTTGATCTTTCAAAAAGGTAATCAGCTCGTCATACGTAGGAACCTTCTCTTTATCGTTACCTGTTGACCGTTCTCATTCCCTCATTGTGCTTCGATTCAAGCGACTGCACACCATGTGCACGAGCAGGGAGCTCCATAGAGATCTCCAAGCGCAATCTCACGAACACTAAAATCCAACATCCATACATAAAAATAAAGAAGAAGAAGAAACAAAAAGGTATCGCGATATCACAACTACACACAAAGAATTATCGTTGATACAATTAAAAAAAACATTGGTAGAATTAAAAGTTTGCGTTGGTTCTTTTTGGTAGAAAGTCTTTTGCATTCAAAACAAAAGTCAGCCAACTGTCAATTCAAAAGTTAGCCGCACCCTATTTTTAAAAGTAGAAACTTTCAAACCGAATTGTACTACTGTCAAAATAAAAACATGGCGGTTTTTAATTTGAAAGCAGATTGTTTCTAATCCACAACATACTTTTGGCAGGAAAGTGTGATATAGTTAAAAAGATATGGTCTATTTTGAATCTACATCAAAAATATTTTTAACATGAAAACGTTTACTTTTAGATGAAATACTTAAATCTTTTAAATATAAAGGTTATGTATTCAAAATAAATGTTTATAATATCAAGGGAAAAGTATAGCAGTATGAAAATGAAAAGTTTTCTCAAATATCACTTTTAAAATGAATGTTTACTATAGTTAAAATGATTTTTAAATCTTTCATTTTAAAAATGGGATATTATTGATATCACTATTCTTGTTTTCAAAATAAATGTTTATGGATCTTAAAAAGTTAAGCTGAGCCCAGGACGTGTGACTCTAAAAATATACAAGCCAAATATCCAGTCCAATCCTGAACAATTCTTTTTTATCCTTACACGACCCTCACAAGCTTTTTTTTTTGTGCATGATCGTTCTCATAGGGATAGAAAAGCAATGTTTGGATTTGGACTGGATGATTGATTTGTATAATCTTAGAGTTACACCCCTTGCCCTATTTGCTGTATCTAACATAGCTTTTTTGTGTATCAAAACACACGTATGCAAATCAGCATTGTTGATAATTAAAGAAATATCTTACAATAGAGGGACCATTCTGTTGGTTTGCATGTGTTTAGAGACTCAAGAATTTGGCTAGTCATTGTTGATAAAGGCAAATAGGAAATAATGTGAGAATACCTGATTTATTAAACGGATAGCATGGAAAATACAATGCAGGTTTTGTACCTAGTTTGAAACAATGCCTTCATTTTGAATCAATATTGAATGATATATTAATGACTGTAATAATAAGCCTGAAAAATACGTTTCAATGCTGTGCTTGTTCGCAGCACCAACACCCATTTTGCAGGCTAAGTATGCAGGCTTTTTACAATGAACTCAAAATGGAAGCACGGCTTCAAAATGGGTACAGAGTCCTTAATGATAATTAATTGTCAAACATAGTTTATTTGAAGATATTCAAGATTTATTACATCTCAGACGTTCTGGGATAGAAGTTACTGGGAACGGTTTCTGGAGCTACAGAACTGATTAATGTTTCTACAGCCTCATGCGGCTCCGATCGGTGAAATGACTCAGGAGCTGCCACCGCCGTTTCAGTGACCGGTGTGGATACGTTTTGTTCAGCTGTAGAAGATAAAATAACAACATTTAAAATAATATACAAAGATAAATAGAAATCTATCCTAATTTCTAGAAGAGTTGTTGCAAAGTTTAATATGTCTCGATCGATTTTTATTTTGGATTTTTGACTTACCAAGGATATGCAAAACAAATATTCAAGCGTAACTATTCAAATCAACGTAACTGATTTTGTGAACAATCACTTCAATCGACGATTTGATTTAACTGCTAACTCACCCACGTAAACACCATCATCAGGTAGGGGAATCTCTCTCCTACTATCTGGTGTTGTTAGTTTCTGTGAGTGAGCTAGCAGTTACCACAAATCGTCGATTGAAGTGATTGTTTACGAAATCAGATACGTCTATTTGCATAGTTATTCTTGAATATCAATAGATATTGGATTTTTTTTCATCATGTTTTAACTTTATGTAGGTACACGGCCAATGAGATCAACTCAAATTTGTGTTTTGTTCACTCAAATTCGCTCATATGTCGTTAACTCATAGACTGAGATAGTTTTCCGGTATTTTCCTCAAAAATCTGCTCGAATGTGAGAAAAATCGTTGAAAATTTTACAGTCTAGGTGTACAAAAATAACTTGCTACTTACCTTTCGGTATGGGCTCGGACCTATAGTCGCTATATTCATAGTCTGGCG